ATGTCGCCAGCTTGATGCAGCTGCACAGAGCCAGTGACATGACCACCACTCACACAAAAGCCCCAGCTCTAGCTCAGGAGGTCCCTTAGTCACACAGCTGTTACTTGCCCTCCTCTCACTTTCCTTCCTAGGCTTCTCCTCTTTCAACACTGCCAGAGCTGGGACACAGGGCTAAAGAAGCTCTAGTCTGACCTGGGATAACCTCACCTGTCTGTACACAGCACAGCTACAGCACCTCTGTGCTCTCTCCATACAGCCTTTGTTTCAGGCTCAGAGAGATCTCACTGCACTGGTAGGTTCAGGCACTGCAGGACACAGGTGATTTGTCCAGTGTCCTTTGTGCCTTTGCTGGGTGAGGTGGCCAAGCCCACAGTGCTTTGCAGGGCTGGCCAAAGGCCCTGGGAGAAAAGCCCTGTAGGTATGTGAATAGGCTGGGTCTGGGTTGACTAGAAATGCAGGGCATGCACAGCCACCCACTCTGCCTTGGATGAGCTCCACAACCACTACAGAGCTGCACTCACCCCCTGCTCCCAACACTGACTTTTAAAAGAGTAAAAGAAGCAACAGCAACTCAATGTGAAATGAATACAAAAAAAGAAAGCAGCAGTGAACACCTCCTGGTTAATGAGCAAACCAGACTGCTCTGATCTCTGGATCACTGAGCTATAAATTCCCTAACTGGACTGGGGAGTGACCTGCAGCACAAGCACAGGGATCACCCCTGAGAAAAAGGTTATGGTGATGTGGCAGCCCAGGAAGCATAGCAGAGCTAACCTCTCTCTGCCATAACCTGCAGCACTCCAAGGCTCTTCTAACTGTTCCTCTGCCTTTGCAGCCTGTTCTAACACTGCGGCTACATCCAGGCATGCCCTGTTTCCTGTCAGAGATGAATTTCTGAAAAGGCACAATGGTTAGTCACACAATGGATAGCAAAATACAAGAGATTTACAGTGGGAATTCAGTCTCACAGAGGAGGCAAGCAAGATCTTTTGGAACAATGACTCACTCCAAAACCAGCAGCTCCCAAAGGTCCTGGTTCCAGCCTCCATCCTCCACACTGTGTAAACTGACTGTGTATTTCTCAGTTAAGGCTCTGTACACATCTTCTACCACATTAATTTTCACAGGGAAAAACTGCTTTGCTGCTTCACCTGTGCACATCAGACAACTCCACAGCACAGTAATACATAAAGAGCAGCAGGACTCAGACCTGACAGCTGGAGAAGCTGTGACAGTGGAGTGTGCACGCAGCACAGTCAAAGAGCTTCTCTGCTAACACTTAACCATTCAGTTCAAAACTGTACACACACCTACAGAGGTAAAACACTTGAAATACTCTCCACAAATGTTATAAAAACAACAATGTCATGGGGGGCACCAAAACAGAGTCAAACATGAGGGCTGAAGTGCAGTTAGGGTAGAGAGAAGGAGCCCTTTATGGCGGAGTGCTCCAAACCATGATTAAAGAGTAGTTCCTAGACAAACATTGGGGACATGAAGAGGAGGTTGTTTGTGCTGAACACAGCTGCCAAAAAACAATCCTGGGCAAGACAATGACCAATTGCTTTTCCCCTACTTTTTCCCAGATGCTTTTCCTCCTATGCTCCTCCCCAGCCACCAGGGTGGTTGTGTTACTTGCACAGGCTGCCAACACAATGTTTGCTGCAGCCTGCAAAGCCTTCTCTCTGCCTCCCCAGCAGGACCCCCTCCTCCCTGCCTGTTCTATTTCGGCTAACCTGCTGGCAGTCTGCAAATAAGTCAAAGGCAGAAAGGAGTTGCTGTGGAACTGGCCTGGCTAATTTTAGCTGTGGCATCGCCAGCCTCCTGCCTTGCTGCCCTGGGCTGACACCACGAGTTGTGAAGCTCAGGTCATACTGGCTAAGGGCTCCACCAGGTGAGTTAGGAACACCTCTTTCCCATATGGCTGAACTGCCCTGGCACAGAGGAATGTTTTACTCATCCCAAAAGGCAAATCCTTTTCCAAAAAACAACCAAAATTTTATTAAAATATTGCCCTCTGCAAGTAACAAACCTCTTGTCACCAACTCAGGCTCCTCAACCAGATTGTCACATAACACTCCTCACCCCTACAAACATTCAGCTAATAGAAACCAGCTATTAAAGGTCTCCAGAGGAGACCATCTCATACCTTGAGGACAGGTCACATACACCTAACCCATTTCTCACAGACATCTCTCTGACCTCTGCTCTTAAGATACCCCTGGAGCTAGCAGCTATATAGTCTTCTCACACAATCCACCTACGACCTCACTAACCACTCTTATAACAGCTTATTATAACTCTCCCTGCCTACAGCTGAGTCCCAAGACTCCACCTGGAATCTCACATCCAGCATGGAGAACACTCTGAGCACATTACTGTCACTCTGGTTTGTACTAATGAGGTCTCATTAGTTACAATTAAGCATAAGGCAATTCTATTAAAACCAGACATTATCATTCTCTTTGCTTTGCTCACCTTCCTTCTCAAGGTGAAAGGACAAGAAGGTTAAGTCAAAAGAATTAAGTTCCACCACAGATCCAGACACCAAAGACAAAATAACACTTGGTACCTTGCAAGCATTTCTGTATTTCACAGGCTTGTTTCTGGCAGGGATCCTTCTGGGGCATGTTCAGAGAACTAAAATGATAGGAAAATGTTACTGTACAAACAAGGTGCTTTTCAGGAGGGGTGGGGGAGACAGAATCTTAAAGCCAAAGCTTTCAAGAGCTCTGAATTTCCCCTCACTGTCATCATTCAGAAAACATCTACTCCTGCCTGCAGGTGCCTGACATGCACAAGAACTCTGTGCACAATGAATATGGGAAGTTTTCTTTTGCTAGGCTTAAGGGCCTTTTTCTGTTCTCTGGTCAAAATGTTTTCCACTTGGCTACACAAAGATTCCAGCAAAGATTCAAATTAACATGGCTGAGTAGTTTTTAACAGATCTGTGTCTTCTGACCTTATACTAAATCATGTATTTCTGTGAGAGTCCTCTGTGAGCTCTACACAACCAAGGACTTGGTGTTAGCCATGGAACAGCAGCTGAAGGCATATAGAAAAACAGTCAATCAACCTAGTTGTGTATGCCCCATAAGGCCATCAAGGAGGGCTTCTTTTGCTTTGTTCTGGAAGAAACTTTCTGGAAATCCCTTCCCCCTGCCCAAAAAGTCCCACAACCAGATAGGAAGACAACTCCAACTTATTCAAATCCCTGTAAAGTGGGATTTCAGACACTTGATTTGACTTTCTGCAGCTGTGACACCTGTAACTGTGATAGATCAAAAGCCAAGCAAAAGCTGGTGGGACAAGTAGTTGAATGGGAGACCTCTAAGGAAAGCACCAATGTCACCAAAAGTGGTGATGGGACTTCAGCTACCTCTGAGCCACAGTTCAGCCTCTGCTCAGAGCTAGGGAGCTGCTGCCTTTTCAACTGCTGACAAGTCACCAGCCCACAGCACTTTTCAGTACCACTGGGGCATTATTTATAGCATCCTGGCCAAACTCCACTTGGGGCAATTACATTCTGCCTACCTAGAACTTCCCCTGATGTTTCACTTGGCCACAATACTCCTCTTCACTGCCTGTCCTAAACTCTTGTGTGATGTTGCTGTGTGTTGCTTAACTGCTTCCACCTCAGAGGTGGCTGCATTTCAGTGGAGAGAGAATCTTTTATTGTACAAAACAGACAATGACATCTTCCTAGAGTCACTGCTCCTGAAAGACAAAAATTCAGATTAAAGAAAGACTAGGAGCAAACAGCACACAGGACAAAGCAGAGGGAATGTCTGCACATACCAGATTAATCCCCAGGCACGAGTTTAAGCAGCAGTTCTTCAACACCACCAAGCTGTAAGTGACAAGGAAAAGTTCAATACAGTCTACAGTTACTGCGGTCGAGCTAATGGACTTCAACAAAAGAACAGTCCTTTGCCATCCCTCAGGGAGCTCAAATGACTTCACAAACAGGCATGACTATAGCCTATTGTTGCCACCATCCTTACCATGAGGTGGTGCTCTATCTCCCAAACGCGAGAGTTACTATCCCTGTACTGCTCACCCTGGGACAGCTGCCACATGTGAGGCAGCCGGGATGGGGGGAGCTGGCTGGGCCGCAGCGCCTCACCCAGGGGAACCTGAACTCTTTGGATCCGAGCCCTCAGCATACCTTCCTCCTGGGGGAAAGCAACAAACAGAGCAGGCAGTTACTGGCAATGAAGGAGATGCACCTGAAACAGCAATGCTACAATCAGGAGGAAGCTCTCAGAGCACACTTGCCTCTTCTGCAGCCACGAGCCAGGTGTGGCGGTGCTCATCGCAGTAAACACCTACACGGCGCACCCAGAGGCGGACGGGGGGAGTGCCAGCCTGCCCTCCTTCTGCCATCCCTCAGGCACTTCGGGGGCTCAGCTGGATGGCAGCAGCCCACAGGATGCACACATGGCCTCTGAGCTCTGAACACATCCAGGGGAAAGCTCCCAGAGCTGATCCGGGTGGGGTCAGACTTAGCAGATGAGATGCTACGTGCTGAAATGTTCCTACAAGTCAGCTTGGGAGGCTGAGGTGGTGCCTAAGCCAACAGAACTGTCATGCCAAGTTGTGCACTGGGACATGAGTGCTGTGTGGTATTCGTAAGGCATTCTGGGGCAAAAGGTGCTACTGGTAAAAAGTTAAACCCTGTGGATATTGGCTTTGCTTGTTCCACTAACAGTCCTGTTAACAGTCTTTGTGTAAAACAGCAGGGGAAAGTGGTGGTCTAAATCCCAAAAGCAAAACTTGTGACAAGAGGTGAAATGAGCTTAATAAGAACGAAGATCACTCTGGAGGCAAAGCACAAAACTCCGTGTGCAGGACTCTCACATCTGGAGCTTGCAGAGCTGTCCATGTGCAGGGACCTTCGTCTCATCTCACGAGGACACAGCACTGTCCAATCACACATAGACTTCTTGTGAACAGCTCTCAGGACTTGAATTGTTCAGCTTTTAGCTGGTTACAGAGACACCAACACCAGCAGGGGCAGAGCAGCTTTGGACATTGAGGTGGTTCCTGCTACACAAGTTTTGTTCAACAGCACATTTAGCTCTATGCCAGTTAGATCAAGCTGAGACATTAGCAAAGGGAGGTCAGGGGAAATGATTCTCTCTTTAAACCCTAGAAGAGGTAATCAAAATGGTACAGACAGTCCTCATTCTTTATCTAGGTTTAAAGTAGAACAAAGTTAAGCTGTAACACATACAACATCCTCCTGCTAGGAAGCAGATGCAATATTCCTTTTCCCAGGGAAACACAGTGGTCTTCTGAAAACTTGTAAGGTTATAAGGCATATTTCAGACAGGAGCAAGAAAATCTGGGTACAAAATAAAGGAGGGAGAGTCAGGGAGAGAAAAAGAAATGGTTATACATTGGGGTACACAGATAACAGGAAATACACTTCCACTTTGCTTTCCATATCTCACATCAATGTTTCTCTACCTTTTGGAACCGAAGGAGCACTGAGCTGTTCTGAGAACAGAACACCAACCACGGATCAGCCTGAGCAGCAGTCACAGCATTTTGGTTTCTAACCAAGAAAACTTTGGATGTTCTTTTATTGGTTCCTTTTTCTCCCATTCTGTTTGTCTCCTTGCTTGATGTGTGGGGATGTGTACGTGCACTACACATCCTGGGATGTGGTACAGCCATTCCAAGCAATGCCCCAGCAGCTGGATCACTGGCATTTAGAGGAATGTGACTGACAAGCCTCACAAGGCCTTCAAGAAGTAGCTATGAGGGGTAAAGGGTCATTTCTGTAAGTCCTTTCCTTTCTGCTTTACCCTAAGTCACTTTACAAATCAAATCCCTGTGCCCAACAGTGAAAGGCAGCAGCTGCCAGTGCTCATTTCCAGCCAGCAAATGTAATCACCCAGGTGGGATTTGGCCAGGATACTCTCCTACTCTGCAGGAAACTCTTCCATCATGACCAAAAATGTTCAAGAACTTGCTTTTATTCCACTCAAAGCTGAAATTTCTACAGCTCATCATCCCCAGAGCCAGAAGGCTCAAGAGTGACTCTGGTGATAGAAAAATATGACTCAGTAAGTGAACTGTGTTTCCCACAGCAAGTAAACTCTCCTGGGAGGTCTCCTATCCAAACACTAACCTGGTTCAGCCTGGCTGAACTGCAGGGAGGAGGACTAAAGCCCAACATGCATGTTTGTGTTCACTCTGTATGGAGATGGCAGTGATGACAGATCCAGGACCAACAGCACAAGGTCACATGCAGAGGACACTGTACAGAATGGGCAGAGGTTAATGTGTTCTTCACCTTTTGCCCCAGTGGTTTGTCCCAAACTTCCCCAGAACTGAGTTCTAGATTTCAAAGGCCCAGTCTGGCCAGTCTTTCCAACAGTCTCTAAGGCTGCTGTGGAGATGGCCAGATAGTGCCAACAGAAAACCCTGAGGTCAGGCCAAACCGTCAGTTGGGTCTGAGGTGAGACAGGTCTGTCTATGGCACCAAACACACCAGCGACACAGGAGATCCCACAAGCACAGGCTTAGACATTGCACCTGAACACACACACAGGTCCTATCTCTGCAGGTTTGCTCAGAAAGCAGTAACAAAACCTGAAGGAAGACATGGGTGGAAGGTGGAGTGAGGTTACTTACAGTTTAAACAAGTTTTAAACCCTAGTTCTTACACTGCTTCATGACCTTTCCAAAACCACCACATCAACACAAACCCAACCAGCTGAAATGTGCAGGACTGCAGCATCATCCTGTGATGGAGATTTTAATGTTCCCATCAAGACAGCTGTAGAAGGTTGAGCTGTTTAAATTGCTGTTTGGGGGAGGTTTAAAGTCCAATCCCCACAGACAGGGATAATAGAGGTATCCGGTCCATCAGGCCTCAGAAGTCTAATGCTGTTCTGGGTGGGTTTCTGAGCCACACAATACATGGATAAGTGTGAAAATGGCCAGGAGGAGGACTGCAGCTTGTGGTGAAGATAATTTATTTGCTTTTAATTTGGGTACACTAAAATATTTTAGGAAAAGAGTGAAAGAAATTGCTCCAGATGCTGCTTGGACCACGCTAGAGCTGGAGCTCAGTGTACTGAGCAAACTCCACCCTGCATCACCTTCTGTCTGAAAAGGCAACTGGGTCAGGCTGTTAGAAGAGTTCAGCTGCCATTTAGGCACCAAGGAAAAATGCTGCTGAGGCTCAGCAGTGTTGTGCTAACAGGGTTACAACTCCCAGAGTAAGGCTGACCGGTGTGGCCTTCTGCTGGGGTATGACTGCTGCCTGCACACCTCGGTGCACAAAGCCTCCGGGGAGCTACAGGGGAGCTGAGCTGTTCGGATAAACCCAGCCTGGGTCTGACAGGGGGTCAGGGGTGTGAGGAGCTGTCTGCAGGCACAAGGGCACGTGGATACACTCTAAAGCTTCTTCTCGGGGGTTTGAGCTCTACTCTGCCCGGAGCAAGCACCTCTGACTCCATACTCCGCTCTGCCCGACCTACTGAGTGAGGGGTAGCAGATGCTCACCGACCAGCCAGGCTGTCCAGCAGCGTGGGGAGGGCAGGTCTAGCTGTGGTGGTATCTAAAGAAACAGGAAGACAAAAAGCACAGACGTCATGTGCGCGAGGC